TTGAAAACAAATGACATCACAGGAGCATTTTTTTTGAATTACAAATTAAAGAGGATTGTTAAGTTTTGCATTTGAAATCTATAGACTGCTGAAATTCTAAATAATTTTATAAGCATAGTATTTTAAAGTTAAATTTTGTGGAATAAAAGCCCCTTTAGTCTTGGTTTTAAAGTATGTAAACACTTTTGCCAGTAGTTTTATCCAGTATTAACAGGTAACACATTTCAAAAGTCAGAAATCCCAGTGAGAAGGCAAATGCTTACAAGTTAAAGGACTTAGAGCTGTAGTATATTTTTTAACTTACTATTGTATGTTTGTCTAGCTAATAGCAGGAAAAAGTGTAAATACTTCTAATTTTCCAATTGCTTCATTTGTATAAAACCTCCTCTCTTCCTATGATACTGACCTCTGTTTGTCCATAGGTTTTCAACTCTTGCTGGGGATGTCTTTTCACTGTTTTGTAGGAGTTGAAAGCAGCGTTTTTGTAGCTGTTACAATGTTAATGTATGAGTATACCTAACTGTTTTTTTTAAATAAGTCTAGTTCTGTTTTTGCAAAATGCATTGTGCCAATTTACTGTAATGTGGCTGTATGGTATGCTTTTGGTATAGTAAGTATACTGGAAAGAGGTGTGGTATTCTCACAGAACCTGTTGATGCACAATGGTTGGAAAACGGTGTCTTGAACAATTTACGGAATTAAAGAATTTAATAAAGAGAGAGTTGTATAGACAAAACCATTCATAGGAGCAATGAGAGTCTGATTTTAGTACTATTTTGATTTTATTGCTTTGGCATTAACTTGGGGACACCTAACTTGAATTTTAACAGAAACACTGGTAAATTATTTTAAGAAAAGTTCCTGAAGGCATGAAAGGGAACACAACAGGTACAAGTTTCTCTGGAAGCTGTTTCTGAAACACACACTTTGCCTGATATCAGTAATAGGAACAACTTATGTGTGGTATTTGATAGCGGCCAGCCAGGTTAAAAATTAAGAGTTTAATAGTTCTAAGAATCTTCAGAGAATCACAGAATATCTTCAGTTGGAAGGGACCCACAAGGATCATCAAAGTCCAGCTTCCTAGCCCTGCATGTGCCTTAGAGTATCACCCAAATGCTTCTTGAACTCTGTCAGGCTTGGTGCTGTGACTACTCCCCTGGGGAACCTGTTCCACTGCCCAAGCACCCTCCGGGTGAAGAACCTTTTTCTAATATCCAACCTAAACCTCTCCTGACAAAACTTCAGGCCATTCCCTCAGTCCTGTCACCAGTTACCACAGAGAAGAGATCAGTGCCTGCCCCTCCTCTTCCCCTCACAAGGAAGTTGTGACTGCAGTGGGGTCTCCCCTCAGTCTCCTCTTCTCCAGGCTGAACAGACCAAGTGACCTCAGCCGCTCCTCATACGGCTTCCCCTCAAGGCCCTTCACCATCTTTGTTGCCCTCCTTTGGACACTCTCTAAGAGTTTAATATCTTTCTTATATTGTGGTGCCCAAAACTGCACACAATGTTCAAGGTGAGGCCACCGCAGAGCAGAGCAGGACAATCCCCTCCCTCGACCAGCTGGCGATGCTTTGCCTGATGCCCTCCGGGACACAGTTGGCCCTCCTGGCTGCCAGGGCACTGCTGACTCATATTCAACTTGCCATCGACCAGGACCCCCAGGTCCCTTTCTGTGGCACCGCTTTCCAGCATTTCATTCCCCAGTCTTTATTTACATCCAGGGTTGCCCCATCCCAGGTGCAGAATCCGTCACTTTCTCGTGTTGAACTTCATATGGTTGGTGATTGCCCAGTGCTCTTGTCAAGGTCTCTCTGCAGGGCCTCCCTGCCTTCAAGGGAGTCAACAGCTGCTCCCAATTTAGTGTCACTGGCAAACTTAATTAGTATTACTTCAAGTCCTGCAGCCAAGTTGTTAATGAATATAGTGAAGAGAACTGGGCCTAAGATGGAGCCCTGTAGAACCCCACTGGTGACAGGTCACCAGTCTGATGTCATCCCATTCACTATGACCCTCTGTGTTCCACCCATGATCCAATTGCTCACATACCACATCCTGTCCTTATCCAGCTGTGTGCTGGACATTTTGTCCAGAAGGATCCTGTGAGAGACAGTATCAAAAGCTTTACTGAAATCCAAAAAGATTACATCAACTGGCTTCTCTTGATCAGCTGTGTGGGTTACCTTGTCATAGAAGGAAATCAGGTTGGATAAGCAGGACTCTCCTCTCCTGAAGCTGTGCTGGCTCTGACCAATGCCTGCATTGTCCTTCAGGTATTTTTCAGTAAATTCCAGAATAAACTTCTCTGTTACTTTACCAGGCACTGAAGTGAGACTGACAGGCTTGTAGTTTCAGGGCACTGAGACCCCCGTGGGCCGTCATAGGTGTTGAAGACAGAGGCAAAGAAAGCCTCTGCCTTGTCTCTGTCCCTGTTTGTGAGGTGACCATCCTCATCCTGTAACAGGCTGATGTTTTTCTGCACTGCCTTTTGCCACTGACGTATTAAAGAAAAACCCTCTTTTTATCACTCCCACATTTCTGGCCAGCTTCAACTGCAGTTGAGCTTTGGCTGCATGAATTTTTTCCCTACAGTGCAAAGCAGCATGTCTGTATTTCTGCCATGTTGCCTTGTCCATGCTTCCACTGGGCATACATATTCTTGGTCTCCCTTGGCTCCCAAGAAAATTCCTGCTCAACCAAGCTGGCCTCCTGCCTCACCTGCCTGGCTTACTTGAAATTGACTGCTCCTGTGCTCTAAGGAGGTGCTATTTACAAAGTGACCAGCAGTGATGGACCCAAATCTTGTTATGGGGTTATTGGGGAAGGCAACAGTGTTCCAGCTGTGTGTATCACTTTGTATTGTGTCACCTTCGAGGCAGGAACAGTAAAGCACAATTACAACCTGATGGAGACCACGACTTCAGAACCCTTAACAGGCACCATTCAACAAGGAAGAGTTTCCAGTATTGAGACATGACCAAAACAGCATAGTATCCACTACTGAGAAGTCACATTATTTCTTGTTTACATGCCTTGCAAATTGCTGCCATGGCCTCTTCAGTCAGCCCACCTGGATTTTTTATGGTTCTTTTGTTCTTACCCATGGTATGGAGAAAGGGGATTTCTCATAAATAAAACAAGGTATACAGACTTTCCCCATTTCAAGTTCAGCGGCTTGGTACAGTCTTCACTTTTGTTTGTAGTTCTGCTCTTACAGAAGTGCCAAGCAGCTTGATATTCAGTAATAGGAAAAAGCAATTCCAGCACTCCATACATCACAACCAGGGGAAGGTCAGTAGCTTCAGCACTGCTTTCAAACTTCCATGTTTTCCAGAATCTGGAAGTGACAGATTTATCTTGAAAATAATGGGGTTTTAACCTGAAATTATACCCTTCTATGAAGTAACTTCTTATTCTCTTACCTCCTAATTTGGAGAGATGAAACTACTTTTTGTTTTGCCTCTTCCCCCCTCCTTTTTTTAACAAACTAGAATAGTAAACTGCATAACAGTTTTAGGATCCTAGCCTGAACCTCCACTTCACTTCCATGGTTTACAAAAGAAAAAAATCCCCACTAGTGACCAGAGGCACAGAAAAAGGCGTGAAAAGCCTGAAATCAGAACTTATTACCTGACCCTCACTGCACAAACAGTATTCTGTTTATTGTGTTCAAAAATGCTTTTTAGATATCTTTGCAACTTTGCACTTTTTTTTTAATATGTAACAGTGGATGTTTTTTTTTTTCCCATGCTAAATATGCCACTCCAGAGACCAATGGTGTCTCCCCACACATAAGCTGCTGCTGGTGTCTATTTGGAGTAGTTTCACTGAAGTTTTACACAGCGTTACAGGTAGATAAATTACCTGCTTCTATAAGCTGTCCCTAAGCACAACACATTGTGTTTATTTTTGGTCTTAATACTCTGTACACTGGCTGTAATGTTAAGATGAGGCAGGATTGTGGGTTCGGTAATGTGGGAGAGCCAACAGAAGAATATTTATTTCAACATTCAAACAACACTGTTCACCAGCAGCTGGATTTACGGAGCTATTTGCTACATTTGTACTGCAGACTTCTTAATATTAGAACATGCTGCATGCTTTCTAAAGGTTTCCTCACTGTATTGAGGACTACAAATTGCATACATTTTTTCATCATTCCTTACCTACTCCGTTGTCAATCTCTGTCAAGATAGAAGCACATGGACATTTAGGCATCTGTACCAGCCTTAACAAAAACACTGTCCATATTGACAAACTGGTACTACTTCCACTCTACCTGTGTGAAGTTGCAAGCCATCTAAAACTCTCTTTTCACTGTCAGTTAAAGGGGGAAGAGATGCTAGATGTGCCTGGGGAAAGCCTCACACTCATGAATGACTGCACAAAACACAGTGGCAGTCAGTTACAGTAGCACTTTGTAGGAACACCTTGGCTGCCTTGGAAATTAAAGTCCCAAGCTGCAGGCACTTACAAAGGTTAATGATTAAATACTGAAGCCTCTTTACAAAGCAGAACCCACTGACGTGATTACTGGAAGTTAAAACACGTCTTGGAAAGATCTTTCAGTTCAAAGCAGTATAATTAAGATTTTGAATACAGCAGTTTCCCACACTAAGTAAAAAACATGCAAATAGTTACTAAATGCTAAAATTGCTTGCAAAGCTTTTCATGTGCAAAATGAGTATGTGCTTGTGTAATGAAATGGAAGGTGTTTATATACCCCAAATGAATAGCCTTCAGGTCTTGAAGAGGGTACCTCAAGTCAAACCTGCAAGTTCAGTCACCATGGCAGCTCCCCAGTACGAAACTGTCTTTGGCAGATGGGCACAATGATTGGCCTCCACAGATTTTGAGTTTTGGCAATCTCCAGCACTTCACAACAAACTGCTCTTAAGGGGAACTACTGACATGGCTGTACAGCTGACCATCAGACAAGCAGCATTCTCATTCAGTTTCCAAATACAGATAATTACTATACAGTGGATTTTTCATGTTTCCACATTAGTCACGAGGTGTATTTTATTGAAACCTTAAGAAACTAAAACAACTTTCACTGTAACCCTTGAACCTGTTTTTGTAAAGATGTTAATGGAAATCCTCACATAAGCACTTTTCAATTTTGACCATCCCTTTGTATCAAGCCCCTTATACCAAAAAAAAAAGAGGTACTGTGTTATTGAAAAGGATGCCAAATCCACCTAATTTTCACACAAGTGTTTTAGAGCTAACACATCTGTCACATCTGTTTCAGAGATAATGGGTCCCCATGCTGCTGCTTCAGTTGAGATGGATGCAAAGATGAAGCTCCTGATTGTGTCATACTCTGTCCATGCAGCTGCTTGGGCTTTTACTGTCTGAATTTACTGCCTGTTTACAAACCAGAACTAACCTAAATTCACAAAATCTGACTGACTCTGACTGACTGACTTGGAAGGTCAAATCACCTTCCAAGATGCCTGAGTGTCTTTGAACTGTGTCTCTTGAAAGATACAAATATAATTTATGAGAGTTGAGACCGACTAGGCAGTCAAACTTAAGTTTCACAAGGAATAAGGCTGATTCTTTCTGAAGAAAGAAATCACAGCTATGCACAAAATTTAAAGCAAAGTTAGCTGTGACAGCAGCATCCTTACTTCAAGAATCAAGTTCACTACAGCTTAAAATACTGTGCAACCCTACTGAGTTGCTCATCATTCAAGTACATGGGGCTTTTGGAGTAACATTGTAAGTGCCAGATTACCACTGGGAAGTGACACTGTATATATGAGTCACATTTTGTTTTGGAACTTCACAGCAGCAGTAAATCAAAGGAACATCTCCTCTTCCTCAGTATAAGAAACAGAGTTTTGTATCACCATCTTGTCAGCAAGGCAAAAACTTTGATGAGGGAAAGAATCTCCAAGACCTTTGGGAAGTTTGAAATAACTTGAAGAGGTTCGTGCTGCCTAATAACCAAATGTTTAAAAAAGATCAAAGCAAAAAGCCACCCACAAGTTCAGGTTAATGCTTTTGAGATTAAACTACTAAACACACAGAGGAGGGATTATAAAAAAAAAAACTTTCTCATTTTACATCATGAACTAATAAAGCTGCTTTGAAGTTCTGATCACCAAAAAACTCACAGCATTTAACAAGTTGCTAAAACACAAATACCCAGCTGGTGTCATAAAAATTTAGTTACAGACACTGAGTGCTGTGCTGGATTTCACTTAGAGGACTAATTCAGAAAGACATGTCAAATCAAGACCAGACCCAGTTGTCCTGTGACAGCTTCTGGGAAGTATCTTTAAAAACTGTGACTTCACGTAACCTTTTTGTTTCCTTTGTTATTTAAATTAAATCATTAAATATGAAGTAGGACCAGGTCACACAAACAGCGAGCTTCTAATAAGAGTTCTCTGTTTTGTAGTTAAGCACTGAATGCTCCTAACTCCCACACCCAGAGTGTGGCCAGCTTCTCTCTGCCTGACTGGAAGTATGGCACTGGCCCTCTAAAATTTCTTAATTTGCAGGGACACCAATTTTGAAATAGATTTGACAGCAACTTTTTTAATGGAAAGAAGGTAAGTGGGTTGGGTGAGAGAGCATACTGAGGCAAATTATTTTAATGAAAGAATAAACTCACATTTTGGCCACTCCCTTTTGCCTACAGCTAAAGGAAGAAACCCCCAGACAAAAACCTGACTGCATAGAACTTATGCTGAACTCAGCATAAGAAGCCATCAAACAAGCAAACAATATATTTAGAAATTATGCCAGCTGTCTTTATGATCCGAGATCCAATACTGAAGAGGACTGGAAAGAGGAGGCAAATACTGCAGCTGCAGTTGCAACCAGAGCTGTGTTGCGGGGGCTTTTTAAACATCAGCACCACAAAGCAGTCTAGTCCCAGCAGCTGGACTTGCAACAGTTGTGGTGGGCAAGGCACTCCGTTTTTTGCAGATTCCTGTAGGATAAAAGAACTATCACCATCTGCTGTTATCAGTGCTTGATTTACTAAAATACAACAGCTGGCTGGCTTACAAGCAGAAAAAAAAAACTAACCTTTTTTCTTTTGTTCCTAAAAAAAGCACAGATTTATATTCATGTGACCTAATACACCACCAGAAAGCAGACAGGTATATGAGTGATCACTGGAGTCCTGCAAATGCTCAAGATACCTTTGTTTCAGGACATCTAAGATAATCAAGTAAGCTCTGGAAGAATCTGCAGCTACAGGACCTGAACAGAATTCAGTTTGTCATTTTGCTGTATGCAGATTGTCAGAGTAGGCTGTCTTTACACTAATGAGAATTAGCTGAGGTTTTCAAAAGAAAAGCAGTTAGCACTACAAACTTTCCTAAACTGCAAAGAACTCCAGTAATAATCCTCTTAACTCCAGAAGACTTTAAAAAAAAGTACATTCTGTCTTGACAGAGCTTCAGTTTAACATCAGACTACAGGAAGTACAAATTGGTCACATTTTAATAAAAAACATCATTACTTACAGTAACAGAATACTTCAAAAAAAGTGCACAGTGAACACTGTGCACTGCAAACAGTTAACAAAATTATTTGAAAGGCAGGCTACAGTTCATTAATCAGTGAAATGTAGTTTATTCTTCACAGAATGAGTCCTCAGAGTCACAAACCATGGACAGCAGTAGCTTACAGATTGGAAGCACCCCCATTTGCAGGCAAGATCCAAGAATTTAACCGTAATTCTGAGCTGCTTTCTCAGAAAGCATTCTCCTCCCTACAAATTCAGTGCCCTGCACCCCTATTCATAGATGATGAGTTTTCAAGGTAAGATGTCCATGTTCTCATCCTGGGAGGTTTACAGATCCTTGGATGCACAGAACTCCTCAAAATCATGGCTCTTTTGCCAGGCGTTCTCTTCTTAAACATCTGTATTTTTAGTCCATAGTCTCCAAACCGCTGTAATGTTGTAAAAGTGTATTATATTTTTCCATGCTAACTTAGCTTTTACAATCATACTTAGAAAGCATAACAGAAAGACTTCAAGTGCAAAGGGCTCCTTCCACCTCAGGGCAGAGGGTTACAAACCTAACCCAAAACCCAGCAGTATGCTCAAAACTCAAGCTCTCCAGTGGTTTTAACAGCCAGAGCAACAGATTCAACAATGTAGTTTTCACTGAATTCACTCTGGCACATGGCAGTTTCAGTTGAAAATCCCAGGATCAACATAAGGATATGCAAGAAACTCCCCCAGTTTATTGCCTTCTGCATCATAATGGAGCATCCGAAAACAAACATCACAGAAGAAACAAGGATCCTCTGGTGCCAGACTGTCTCTGTTGGTTACCCACCTGCAGGTTACAAAACACAAGTGTTTTTCACGAGTCCAACACATTTGTGACAAACATCTCAACATTTTACTTACAGTTGGGGATGGCAGCACCAAACATCAGTAATATTATACAGAGCAGGTACTACCAATATTGCATATTTCCCACTCCAGGCACACAGCTTATTTCCAAACTCCACACCCATTCACTGTCAATCCCAGCTGCTACAGCAGCACTTCTGAGGAACTCCTCAAACCTGCATAGCTGGTAGAGTGCCTCAGAATAAAAAATTAAAAGGAATCTTCTGTCCACCCTGTGGCCATTTAAGTCACCCTGTTTTCCATTAATGTAAGAAACTGTGATACAGAGCAGACGTGACTGACCTAAACTACTTTGAGAAGTAACGAAATCCATTTATGAGTCTAAAAGTAGGACCTGGATGATGCAGACAAGAAAGGAGAGGACTGCTGCACACTCCACAAGCACTGAAGTTACCATGAACACAAGTTAACATGTAAAAGGAGGGCCTGCCATGTCACTGAGCAACTAATTTATGCTCTGACTCTAAAGGTCATTAACAGCTGTAGTGATTACAGATGCTATCTGTAAAGATTAGAACACACAGGACAGCCAGCCAAAGCAGCTCTGCTGTCCATGGTTTATCATGTCCTCACTTATGCTTAGTGCATAATTCTGGTTTTAATTTCATGAATTTACACCACCTCTGGTAATGCCCTCCCCACCCCATCTTTCCACCATACTGACCTTTGGCTCCACCTCCCCTTATGGCCAAATGCCTCCCAGATTACAGCCACTTGTAATGGCATCCTAGGGGCTCTGCTAGGAACACTAGGATGGGCTCCCACCACAAAGGGAATTGGCTCTTTGCCTGATTCCAGGGAAGTCTAAGGCCAAACAAGCAAGATAGCAAAGATGCAGCTGCTGTGTCAAACTAAGGCTGAGAGCATAAGCTACCCTGGGGGGAAAAAAAAAGGGCAAAAGGTGATTTTGCAAATAAATCTTTCAGACCTATAAAATCAGGGAGCCCAGCCTAGTCTATGAAACTCCTTTAGAGGAATTTCCACTGTCTATTAAAGTCTTTTTCATATCTAAATTAAAGAGCATAAAGAACACCATATTCACATACTCCTCTCTTAACTGCAGAAAATCTGCATCACAAGAAGTTCCTTCAAGTACTACAGAGCACACAGTTTTCAGGTAGAGGTTAGGAGTTTCCTGTGGAAAAAGTTGCATGCCTTTTAAAAATCTCTAGATCTTACTATATTAGACAGATCTATTCTTGCTTAGATGCCAGATTAAACAAAAGCTCTGTATGACTTCTGGTAAATGCATTTGCAACACATGTCTTGCAAAGGGGGAAAATGCAGCATTACTTTCAAAAGTAACTGATTGAGAGCCGAGCTCTATGTATGCAACACAATATGAGCCAAATAATTAGCCTTTTCATCATTTTAGTTCTTTTGAACCTCCTGAATCATCAACCCCAAAAGAACGCTACCTGCAGGAGGCCTTTTCCTAGTTAGAGAGAGAACTGCTCAAAGAGTGAAGATTATTATTATCATTATTATGAAATACATACAGAGCTTTGATTTCTACTTTATCAGCACCTAGAGAGACTTATTTAAGAAGATAATAGAATCGAGAATGTAGCATACCTTGCTGTGTACATTTTGCACACAAAGCATTTTCTGGTACATAGCCAGTGTTTCTTGATTAGCAAGGGATATAGGTTCCTGTCCAGACAGTCATTGTGATGAATGAGCCTTGAGGGAAATACATAATATACAATAAAGACTCTGCCACACTGGAATTTATCTGATGATAAGCACAGACATTGAATATGGTATGATTTAAATTCCTGTGTAAACTCTGACTAGATTTCTGCTTAACATTCCTTGACACAGAAGAAAATTTGGAGATAGACTGCTAGTTGCACCATCTGTGGATTTTATAGTCACAAGTAAACTCAGTTTGCACACTAACTCAGAAGTCTTCAGATCATCTGCTGTATATGGTCTTTTCAAAGCTTTTATCTCCTACACAGGCTAACAGACTATTACCAGGTGAATCTCTAGAGGTTCATAATCCTGAGATCATCTACTTGCAACACCTATACCAGTCTTTGGGTTGTATTCCTCTTGGGAGGCACCATATATTATCAATGCTTTGTTACATCAGGCTCCTGGGAACTGAAAATGACCTGTCACGCACTACAGACAATCCAAGGAGTGCTCTCTACCTGTAATGCACTGAGCAGAGTATACACCATTGTTCTACTGTTGATGTGGTGCCACCTCACAGTCATTACCACCACCTCCTTCCTGCCTATCCACTTCAGCCCACTATTTCAACTCCTCTGTTCCCTTTTCAGTTCCTGCCCCTTAGCTTTAAGCTCACACTAACTAGTCCATTTGAGTCCAGCCAGAGCCTACGCCATTCCACTCCCTGCCATTCCAGAGTCAGTATGTACATCTGCCACACTCTGGCTCCGCATAAAAAGAGCTTTCCCCTGTGAGTGCCATTCCTGTCATACAGCAGTCATACCATGCTAATTAGGAAGAAGTCTTTTTATGCAGATGAAAACAAAAAGCAAGGAAGATTACTCTATTTCAGAGATACTCACATGTGTACGGAATAAAAATTTTAATAAGCCCTGAAGAAGGCAGTAGAATAATCTTAAAGTTAATAAGTTGGTCAAACAAATATTTGGCATTTCATGTCTGAAGTTTGTCTACAGAAGGCTTGCTTTCATTTGCATAAGGACTCCCAAAGAACAGTAACTTACCTTATATCTGTGATTATAATGATGTGCTCACAGTTCCCTTGGTGGCAGAAAAGGTATGGAAAGCCAATTTTAAGGGACACATCATTAAATACATAGTCCTCCATTTTAACAGACTGAAGATTTCCATAGCCTCTGTCATGAGATTCTGACCACTCTATAACTGTTCTGAAAACAGAAAGGCAATCAGCATAGGAATGCTATGAACTGTGAATGCACAGAAAAAGATGCCTTGAGGGACATGCAAGACTCTTCACTGAGACCAGTTAAATGACATAAATCAAAACAACTGACAACATTTTTTAATAACTGAAGGTGATTTCACAGCAATACCACAACCCCACAGCACTGTGCACTGCTCTTGTGGAACATCTGCCTTTAAATCCCCACCAGAGAGTTTCCTGAGGAGTTCTAGTCAGCGTATGCTCCTGATGGCACCCACTCAGGTCAGACTGTTTGCAGCACAACGCTTCTCAAGCAGTCCAGTAATTCCACTTACTAGCAAGTTATTTGGTTCCTTTGGTCAATAACTTTGTTTTAAAGTATTAAAAAACTTTTTGGTTTGTTTTTGTCAAGGAGAAACATAAAGCTGACAACTGCACAGTTACATTTTCAAAATTTAGCACTGGAAGGGCACTGGCCACTCTTTATTTTTTGGTTTTTCAGTACACTCCTACATACAAGGCACTTCAGTTCTACAAGCTGTGTTTGTTATCACAAGCCTTTCTGCAAAGATCATTGTTGCTCATAGACAGAAAGAGAAGTAAAATAACTAATTTCTCTGAAGTCACACAAGAAGTCTGGCAAAACAACAGGGTCCAAACTCAGCTCTTCCATACCAGCCATTTTAAACATTTTGATCTCCTAAATCTCAGAAGTGTAAGCAAGTCCATACTTCCTTAAAATCTCAGATTTCTTTTCTGAACAGTCACACAGTACCAGTGTTGACTTTATCGTGAAGGCATTCAGCATATTTTCAAGACTGAGCAGAACAAGCAACTTTCACACAGCTGAGCCTGTTGTCTCTCTGACCCATCTTCTACCTCACAGTCTTTTGATGGTCATCATAACTAGGGAGGGCACTTAAAAAGTCAGTACAAACTGGTATCTGCCACCTTCCACAGCAATCCCATCCCAACAGAGCAAAACAGGATATGCAGTAAAAAAATGGATTTGTACTCTTCAAAAAGGAAGTGAATGGAAGGAATAAGTAGGGCACGTAAAGTTAAACATCCATGTAAAAATCAATTCAACCTGAAAAGACAGTTATGAAAAGTCCATTCCCACTCTATACTCTAAATATTCCAGTATTTAAAACACAGGAACTAAATAAATTTTCTTTCCCTTAAGGTTTTTCTTAGTCAACGTCTACAAATACTGTACCTACCTGCTCAGATCTCTGCACTCTGGGTATCTTCTATCATTATAGAAGATGCCTTCAAAATAGAAGAAAGCAGATTTGTAGAGATCCTGAGAGACAGAGAGAACTGTTTATATATAACAGTAGTGTCTCATAACATTAGCATTATGAGAGACTAAACACCTTAAACAAGAACATGTCAAAAATCCAAGTATTTTAGGTATCTAAATTATATTAAGAAACCTCATTCTACAGGTTTCTAATAAAAGTTTTGGACTGACTTTAAATGCTGATGTGACAACTAGACTTATATGACTGCCATCTATGCAGCTAACTCTGCTGATACTGTTCTCCAGCCACAGGTTACTTTACTGCTTTTCTCTGATTTCTCTCCCCATCATAGCATTTACAGATTTCTACAAAAACTGCACAAATTAGGTCATTGCATGGCACTGACTTTAGAAAAGATTAATAATATTTTTTAAAAAATTAGCAAGATGTTGACCTTGGCTGGCTACCCAGTTGCTTTCTCACTCCTCTTCCCCAACACAACTGGAGAAAGAAAATAAAACAGGCAAGCTTGTGGGTTGAGATAAAGGCAGTTTAATGAGAAAAAGCAAAGGTTGCATACAGAAGAAAAGCAAAAAAAGGAGATTTATTCTCTATTTCCCACCAGTAGACAATGATCAGGCATTGGAATAAGCTGCTCAGGAAGCGGTGGAATTGCCATCCCTGGGAATGTCGAAAAGGTGTGTGCATGTGGCACTTGGGGATATGGGTTAGTGGAGAACATGGTGACAGTAGGTTAATGGTTAGCTCAGCTTCTGGAGTTGATTTGGAATCTGGTGACTCTTGCACTGCTGGTACAAGTGCCGTGAACTGTTAATTACTTTTGACAGAGGAGAATGGCACAAATGGACTGTCTGCATGTGACAAGCTACATAATTAAGGAAGAATTTTCAAGGGTGTTAGATTTTCTTCTGAGACCCTAGAAGTGACTGGACATTCCAAAATTGCATGTCTGTCTTCTTTATATAGATGTGACCAGGGAGTGCTCCCATGTCATGGTTGTGCGTTTGTTTGTATGTGTGTGCATGGACTTCAATAATTCTCTGTCATTTCAGCAAAAAGTACTTTGTATTCTGATCAGGTGCACTGGGTCTGGCTGGGGTGGAGTCAGCTTCCCTCACAGCAGTCCATGTAATGCGTGCTCTGCATTTTGGTTAGGTAGAGTTGATAATACACTGCTGAGCAGTGCTTGCACAGCTTCAAGGCTGTCTCTCCAGGCCTCCCAAGGCCAGTGGGCTGGAGCTGTGCAAGAGGCTGAGAGGGAATATATTTGGGAGAGCTGATCCAAACTGACCCAAAGGCTATCCCATGTTACATGATGCTGTGATCAGCAGAGAACCGGAGGGAAAGAGGCAGGGGCCATTCATGGTAAAAGAATTTGTCTTCCAAAGCAACCACTATGCATGGTGAGACCCTGCTTCCTAGGAATTGGTTGGACATAGAATAAAGGTTGTAAATGACCTCTAAGATCATAAGTCCAATCATTAACCCAGCCTATGTTCATGCACATGTTCAGCACTAAACCATGCCCCCAAGTGCCATATCCACACATTTTTTGAATGCTTCCAGGGATAGTGACTCCACCACTTCCCTGGGCAGCCTCTTCCAATGTCTGACTGTGGGGAGGAAGAAGCTGAAAACGTAAGATTGGCAAGGTGAAAAGATATCAAATAACGATGTTTTTCTTGACATTGCACAAAACAAGTCATCTTGGTAATGCTACAGGATGGACAAGGGATCAGACTCAGCCAGCACAGGCTTAGGAGGGGCAGGTCCTGTCTGACCAACCTGATCTCCTTTTATGACCAGGTGACACGCCTGGTGGATGAGGGGAAGGCTGTGGATGTGGTCTATCTGGACTTCAGCAAAGCCTTTGACACCGTCTCCCACAGCATACTCCTGAAAAAGCTGGCAGCCCACGGCTTGGACAGGGGCACTCTGTGCTGGGTTAGGAACCGGCTGGAGAGCTGGGCCCAGAGACTGGTGGTGAACAGTGCTGCATCCAGTTGGCGACTAGTGGTGTCCCCCAGGAATGAGTGTTGGGCCCAGTTCTGTTTAATATCTTTATTGATGATTTAGATGAGGGGACTGAGTCCACCATTAGCAAATTTGCAGATGACACCAAGTTGGGGGGGAGCATCGATCAGCTGGAAGGCAGGAGAGCTCTGCAGAGGGACCTGGACAGGCTGGAGAGTTGGGCTGATTCCAATAGGATGAGGTTCAACAAGGCCAAGTGCCGGGTCCTGCACTTTGGCCACAACAACCCCCTGCAGCGCTACAGGCTGGGCACAGAGTGGCTGGAGAGCAGCCAGGCAGAAAGGGACCTGGGAGTTTGGATTGACAGGAGGCTGAACATGAGCCAGCAGTGTGCCCAGGTGGCCAAGAAGGCCAATGGCATCCTGGCTTGGATCAGGAACAGTGTGGCCAACAGGTCCAGGGAAGTGATTCTTCCCCTGTACTCAGCGCTGGTGAGGCCACACCTGGAGTACTGTGTCCTGTTCTGGGCCCTTCAGTTCAGGAAGGATATTGAGGTGCTGGAGCAGATCCAGAGAAAAGCAATGAGGCTGGTGAAGGGACTCAAGCACAAGTCCCTTGAGAAGAGGCTGAGGGAGCTGGGGTTGTTCAGCCTGGAGAAGAGGAGGCTCAGGGGAGACCTCATCACTCTCTACAACTCTCTGAAAGGAGGTTGTAGCCAGGCGGGGGTTGGCCTCTTTTCCCAGGCAACCAGCAGTAGGACAAGAGGGCACAGTCTTAAGCTGCGCCAGGGGAGGTTCAGGTTAGATATTAGGAGGAAATTCTTTACATAGGGGGTAATCAGATACTGGACTGGGCTGCCCAGGGAAGTGGTGGATTCACCATCCCTGGAGGTTTTTAAGATGAGACTGGCTGTGGCACTTAGTGCCATGGTCTGTAACCATGGCAGTGTTGGATCAAGGGTTGGACTTGATGATCTCAGAGGTCCTTTCCAACCCGGCTAATCCTATGATTCTATGATTCTATTTACTTGCAGTGCAACCAACAGGCAATGCAGGTCAATGTAGTGCTGAATAAAAAACAACAAAACAAAACTCTTATCTCCCTCTCTCCTGTATGTTTTCAAAACTCCTTTACAGGTAGAGGTTTCCACATAGAAAGTTTTACCTTGCTGATGTGTTCTGGTGCTTGGTCTGGCTGACTACTGAACTCACCACCTATCTGGAGGTCACTGACACAAGAAATCGAGTCTCTCAGCTCAGTGAGGTTCTGGCTGCCCAGTACAAGGACTGTTTGATAGGGTTTGTGATCTTTATGCTACAAAGGAAACAGCATACAAGATTCAGATAAATTATTACTTGTCAGCATCAGCACTGCTCTTCAGTTGACAGCTTAAGATCATTACTGGCAGCATATGGTGCATCACTTCTCTGTATGAGATTTTAAACAGCATCTAGCCTCAGCTTCCCCTAAGACTGACATTTATTAGTTATATTCAGAAACTCAAAAGTCACATTCTCCACTGCAAAGTGCAGGAAAGATAGAAGGTCTGAGTTCATTTAACAAATCCAGAAAGACTAGTTTTCATGTATTTCGTTTCAGATTTTGAGCTTTCTGTGAAATAAATTAACTACTGAGTAATTACTGTAAAAGTTTTGTTCTGTAAACCACTAACAGAATGAAAGCCAGATTCTGAAAAGCCTTAAGAAATTACCACAGTTGAAGGGTTTACAACACATCTTCAGTGGACTTAGGAAAGCAAGATATTACTTGAGTAGGGAACAGACATCAAAATACAACCTAGAGAATTTAGTACCAACCTTCTGAAATATAACAGGATAGAAGATGTTCAGAGTTAAAAGTAGTTCTCCTTCCTCGACTATATCTGTTGGATTGTCTGGCCTCTTTCCAATTGCATGTGACTCCTGGAAAAATATATACATACACATACATATACCATATTGTCAACCACAAAAAGATCATAGCTTCTGGACAAAAGTCTGAGAAATGCTGTTCTAACCAACTCATTTTTGACTATGTAGCCTTCTGAATTGAAAACAGTCCACTTCCTCCAAGATGGCAAAGTGACAAACTGCTCTAATTACCAGTTTCAAGCATGTTCCTTCATGTCTCAGCTTTGCTACAAGGTAGCTGGCTACTCCTTGGCTATGGAGAGGACCTGCATGAAATAATTAGAGCCTGCTGTCAATCTCCCCTCATGGAACCCATCTGCTACCAACTTCCACTGCTTAATGCTTTGAAATGCTCTTTGAATACTTTCATATGTAAAGGGAGACTGCAACCCTCAAAATGAGAAACACTAACCTAGAAACTAGCCACAGGAACAAGTACATGAAAATTAAAATTAGTGCAACACTTCCTCTTACTGGGGAAGCTAGACATAGCTGGAGGCCACAATTTCTCCAAAATCCAAACCCAAAACCCAGAACTGCCCTTGCCACACTACTATGTTTTAGAAAAGAAGTAAAAGCATCTCTACATTTCCATGCTACTTTGTGTTAAGACATAGCCCAGCTGTAAGAATGAGAGAGGGCACTTTTATGTGGCAGTTTCCTCCTTTTCCAACAAATCAAGAGAAAATACTGACTGCACAAGCACTTCCCAGTAGCATGGACTGTTCCTCAAATTTAGTAAGAGGAACATGTACTCCTATGAGACTTCAGAGATACTTGGGCTCTAATGCTTCCATCTCCCTTCTTCATGCAAGACGTTCCAAACTTGTGTTTCTTACTGTTCTCATCCTGTACGAGGACACCAACCAGCTCTGACACACAAACCAGTTACCACTGCTTGCTTAAAGGATGCAATAACTGACCATGTGCTCATTCTTCAGAAATAGTAGTAAGACACCACTCACTGAAAGCCTTTATGAAGGTTTCTGGTGCAAATATTTTGTCACATATTCCTCAGGCTAAGAGAACAGCACAGCTGTTGCATCATGCTGTTTATATAATGTGCCTGGGTCTCTGAACAGCTGAAACATGATAACTCATGACAGACCAGGAAATGTCAACGGGAAAAAATGTTTAGGAGTCACATGAGGCTCCTTCCTCACTATACCCCTGTCCCTAATTTTTTCAGTAATTCATGGCTTGCTTGTTCCAGTCATGGACTTCAGCACTTTGCTGTCCCTGGAAGAGTTCAAAGAATGTTTAGATGTGGTGCTTAGGGACATGATTTAGTGGCGGACCTGTGAGTGTTAAGGTAATGGTTGGGCTTGATGATCTTAGATGACTTTTCCAACCTTAATGATTCTATGAACCTACGAAAATTTATGAAATTAAGTTTTCCTGTTTATGACTTCAATGGTTGTGAGGAAATCATAAAAAAAAAAGGTACTAAACACAATTAAAGAAATTCCAATATGCCTTTTGAGGGGTTGATTACTACAGTCCTGTTTCTTGACAGTTCAAAATGGCTGAAAAACTTGCGTTACAAAGCTCAGAATTAGAAATTTACTGCCACCATGCTGGCACTGTCTTCCTCTACAGAAACTAGCTCACCAACACATTAAAGCTTTGTTTCCAACACAGGTCTCCAGGAGCAAAAACACTATGTATTTTATCTAGCTCTATGATAAGTTCACACGATACCCAGCACACTTGATCCTGTACAAAAGGCTTCAGTATTAACCAAATAAAAGTAGTCATACAGTGATAATGAGCTGGAATTCCTTCTTAGCTAGGTTCTAATCACCTCTAAGGAGCAGACTTCCTATCTTTAACCTTAATCATTACCTGCAAACTTGTATCTGCAAACCAACCTTTTCAGTGTACATTTCATAGTGACGGAAAAAAAACCAACCAGAAGTTGGATTTTGGCTGTCTTGAGAGCCTGTGAGGTGACAGGGAACTTACCATCTCATAGGCAAGAGTTTCTTGTCTGCAAGCTCGATCCACAATAATTGTTTCTTCTCTCCTCTCTAAGGCCTTCTTTCTAATTCTGAGGGGCAGAAACACAAGACAAAATTTCATTCAACAACTTTCATGCAGAATCTCTAGGTATATTTTTAAATGACACAAGCTACCACAGAGCAGCTGTCGAAGAGCAAGATTCCTGTCTGTCTTAGTATGACAGACTAACTTAAAATACTAGTCTCCCGATTCTCATAAAACCTGATAGTGCACAGGCTAGCTTGTGGACTTCAGCTTGCGTTTCTCCTTCCCCTTATGTGCAAGTTACAGGTTGTTTGTGGGCAGTTTTACATTTACAAGAAATAACAGCAAAATGTTGTTTGAAGAGGCTGTCTTAGAAAAGAACACTACCTTTGAGGAAGCTGTTTCAACTATCCCTTCCACGCTTCAAAAAACCCTGGATTCATGTTCAAGCAAAACACAAGGAAAAAAACCCCACAAATATTCTCAGGCCCATGGCATAGACTTTAAAAAAAACCTCAGTAGCATTTGTACAAGAAAGAGTATCGTACACAGAATACCTACTAAAATACATATATTTAACCACTGCATGAACAAATCCTCAACTTCCAGGACAAGTCTACTTACCCTCTAAACCTTCCTAATGGTTTTCAGTAACAATCAGACTTAACAGTGATCACAATCTTAACATATTTCTTTACATCAGTACTATGTAAAGTACAGCAAATCCCTGAACTGGCCAAGTAGGAGTTCAAAGTTCTCTAACTGATGGAAACTTAATATATATTGCTTAACCTCTGAAATGCACTAGTAGTATCAATGAATTCTATACAGAGTGGGTTCAGATAAAGAGGTTATTTGGTTACTGCATCAGCACTTAACACTCTGGCTGTTTCAATGTGACTTTGCGTTAATAAAGGCAAAACCTACAGATTTCTTTCATAAGGCTTTGGAGGAACCTCACACACATGATAATGAGAAGTCCTCTGCATGCTCCAAACTTAGTTGTTATTTCAGAAGTATTTAGGTCCAGAAATCCTAAGCTTTTCCATTATGTTCCAAAGATGGAACATTCTATATATCTTAATAAAAAATTCCTAGGCAACATTCAAGCAGAAGGCTCATACCAATTATCCTATCACAATCTGGTGTTTCTGGCCTTAGAGTTTTTCTGCACACTTTCTCAGAAAACACACCATTGTATGGAAAGAGAACAAGCAGCCAGCCATACTTCTGTGCTTGTTTTCAACTCCACCCCAAATAAGGGTAGTGTGAGTGTACCATAACAACATACCGAAGAGTTAGCAGACTGCTATCTTCAGAAATAACATCTGGGTCCTCTTCTTTATCAGAAGACATTAACATATCAATGCTAGAACAAAAAAGAAAATAATTAATATACATTTTTTCTCACCTCATTACGAAAATCAGTTAATCTATCCTTAAAAGGAAAAAAGAGAGCAAAATGTGAATAAACAAGATATAGCTTTTATAGCCTAAATCAGGGCAAAAGGGCAGTATGGTTGTTAAGATAAAGAACCAGAAGACAAAGAGTCCTGGCCTTTATATCTGGTTTTCACAGAGATTGGGTAAATCCTATCTCTATTTTGCATTCTGTCTTAATGGAGCACAGCTGTCTCCAGAGGTTTAACAAGCCCTCTAAGTTCAAAATGTGCGCCCAATACCTTGTATGAAGTAAAAATGCCACTTTTTCAAATCTCGTGCACCTACTCTGATGTTCTGATGCTATATGGCACAAGAGATTCAACCGAAACAAATTAAGAACCTCAATGTGTATGGCAAAGCTAACACCCCTGCTCAAGTACAAACATGGGCAAGCCACCATTTTTACATGAGCTGTTGTAGCTCTATTAAGGCACTAATTATGCCCCATTTCTTCCAGTAGGAGTAAGACAATACTTCTGCCAGAAGCGACAGGTCCACTCTACCTTGTATCCTCTTTTCCATCCTCAGCCCCTTTTCATCCTCACTTTTCTTGTGTTTGCAAAGGTCCACAAACAGATTAAGTGATGCAGGTTTCAGATGAGTCATATTAATAATATCAATTTCCTTTTTAGAAACATACAGAGTAATTCTGACTCAAAGACAGTATTAGTTTCATAGAATCACCGAATCATGGAATGGTTTGGGTTGGAAGAGATCTTAAAGATCATATAGCTCTAACCCCCACACCAACGGCAGGGCCACCTTCTACTAGACCAGGTTGCTCAGGGCCCCCTTCAACCTCGCCTCAAACACTTCTAGGGATGGGGCATTCCACAGCTTTTCTGGGCAACCTGTTCCAGTGCCTCACCACCCTCAAAGTAAAGAACTTCTTCCTAATAACCAATCTAAATCTAGAGTTATCCTCTTTGATTTCGCATGGTCTGTGGAATGGCAGAAGTATGAGAAGCAGGGACCTGAAGGCGGCTTCACCACTGGGTTCCATTTATGGATTCCCATTTCAGGTTGTACAGTGCTGCACACCAGATTCAAGGGAATAGTATATGCAATCCCTCCCTCTGCGGTCCTTCCCAGCAGCATTTTCTAGTAATCACAAAAGAATTTTATCTCAAGCTTAAAAATAGTCTGAGAAAAAAATATTTAAAACAGAGAAGTTCCACCTGCTTTGAATCAGACTTGATTGCTTTTGTCTCTCCACTTTTGCACACTATATAAGGGCAGGGCTTATACCACTGCCTAAGTCGATCTGCAGTTTGAATCCCAGCAAACTCTTGTGCAAACCCATTTCTTTATGGGACAAATACATGACTAGTGAAGTCCAGGAAAAACGTTTGAACTGTACCATTTATTCTCAATACAATTTATTATTTCATTATATTTGTCTTCATTATAATCTTATAATGTTCCCCATGTCAACAATGCTATGAATGAAGTAATGAATAACCCTTTAGAGTCAAAATGCACAGGAATATGCCGTGATTGAGAAATAGAAGTCTGGAATCAACTGTTATCAGCTGACAATAAGTAAAAGTCAGACAAAATTTTGGTTGTGGGTAGAAGGCCTTGTTCTAAGGAGCCAATAGAGTCACTCTGTATTCACAATAATTTGAATTTATTATTGTTTAGTTAGTCTCTTACCATCCAACAGTATACGAAGTTTTAACCTTTCTGTTTTACAGATTTCATCCCAAACAGAAAATAATTTTTTTAAGTTACTGAGAAAAGGGGATTCATTCAGAAGCACCATTTTAAAAGGAACTACGCAGCAATCAGCTACAACCTCCTGGAAATAGAATCAACTTAGATTCTCACTTGAGGAAGTGGAGGCAGAGACAACTGAGTCGTGTATCAAGTGCAGAATGTACCACAGCTGAGAAACAGTAATTTAACTAACATAAAGAAGGAGAATAGCACTTTGGAGAACACTAGTCTTTCAAATGGCGCTATTCTCCATGCAGCATAGAGTCACGTTATGAACAGCTCACCTAATGAAGGAAAGCACATCCCCCAACGCACAAAGCGACTCACAACTCACCTTTTCTGTAGAATTGACAGCATGTCTAGATTATTTAAGTCTTCCTGCATGTGGATCAGTGATCCCATTCACCAAAGAGCCCTTGTCACTTGAAGACCTAACATTTTGAAGAAATGACTATGTATTCCGTTCTTTAAACATCACATATGTTACTTGCATTGAAAATGTCTATTACCTATCATTGTGAAGTTTCACTTGCAACAAAGGTGACAGTTTCCCATTTCCCTTCTGTCCATACAATGTCAGAACTCACCATCAGTACTTGTGATTTCCTTCCTTCCACTGCCAGAGGCCAGGGATTTCTGGTTGTGGCATCCATACCGTGCTCACTAATTGCCTGCCTCAGGAAAGTAACTAACATTCCCCAGAATACAGGGAATTACAACAGACACTGTGTAAAGTAGTTGGCATGTAAGCTGCTTCTTCTCTATCCTTGTAAGGAGAGAAAGGTAGCTAGTGCAAAGAGGAACTGCCACTGAACCTCTGACAAGTTCCGTGGACCCTTCTAAGCCCTGATAGCACAATTTCTCACTCCTGAAAAGTCAGAAACCCTCAATTTCTAAAGGAAAAGCCATCATTAAAGTTCAGTCTAATAACTCATTACATATGAATTGTAATCATGTGCACTGAAGCCTTGAAAGGCTATGCTACAGTATGGCCTTACACACAGGCCACACTGGAGCTCCTCCTGAGTAACTCCACTGCTGCCAATGGAACCACATAGCCAATATGTGGTCCACGGTCCTGAGGAAACCAGGCTTTACAAATGGAAATTATACGCTGAACCCTCCAGAAATTACGGCTAAGTAATCAGTGCCGTATACCTGAGACAGAAGTGCAGGCAACACAAGGTTTGCACTGGTCACACCTCACTCCTGACTGCCACAAGCAAGGCACAGTACAGTGTCCCTACAGAGACTATTCTCTATGCAAGACAAATACACTCAGAGCACTCCACTACCACAGCGGTGGAAGCATTTGCCAAACTGTTTAATGGAACTCAAGGTGAAGTGTAGTACAGTGATGAGGAACAATCACTGAAGATTTCACTTGAAAAAAACGTGCAAAGTGTTACATGAATTTATGTCTCCTTGAAGGATACTTTAAGGTGGCTAGAAATAAAAAGCCCAGAAGCAACTCTGTGGAAACGTGGACAAGGAAACAGACTACCAATGAAGCCTTTAATCACTGTGACTTTAGTTTTCTCAGAATATTCCAGCAGCACAATGATTTTTCTCAGTTTTAGAAATTCAAAGGTATTTTAGTATTTGGCCTGGTACTTTTGTAATAAGAAGATACAGTGTTCATATTACTCTTTACATTGTACATATTTTAAAGGGAGTACTTTCATCACCTTTGAGACACTAATACCACAAGATATTAAATACTAATACGTTAAGAGGTTAATGCTAGCTTAATGCAGCTTGATAACACATCCCTAGAGATATTTACAACTACCCTTTCTAATAAAACAAGAAGGTCCATTGGGACTGAAGGGAAATAAGGTACCTGCAAGCCTCGCCTCACCTCACCTCACCTAAAATCCACACTGATTTGAGGCTTAGCCTGCCCCATACATGCACACAACAAATCACACAGAAGACAAAACAGAGTAACATAACTCAGCATCTCCAACATTTGAGGACTTCAATCAGTCAAATACCAATAATGAATCCCAAGGCAAACTTCACTCACAGACCACTGAGACATTTGAACAAAACCTAGAACTTTACTCTCCTGACACTTTGGTTATTTAAGAGAATTACTGATGGAATTTCCTAGCTAAGGACACCATTTTCACCAAAATCTGGTGAAAATGCAACCAATCTCCATAATGATTATTTGCATACAACCTGAGCAATACGGAAGGCATTCTTACTGAGTCAAAGGCAAATGAGTGAAGAAGGAAATTTCTTCCTGTATTCTGTTTGCAGGAATGTTTTACAGGAAAAAATAGAAGAAAATAAAATAAAGAAATTAAAAAAAAACAACAACCACAACACACTGAGATGCCCAAAGAGTTAAACAGCATTTAAACATTACACCATTGCTCCTCACCAGAAGACTCTGAATTGTCAAGAATTACTTAAGTGTACACTATGTCACTATATTCTAAATAATATTTAACTATGGATATTGAAAAACTTCATTCTGAGTCCATGAAAGATTCTCTTAATCTAACACTTTTAAAAATAGATTTAGGAGTATCCACATCTTCTCTCTCTTCTACCCAGAGAAAACCTCCTTAATTTGTCAGAAGTTCCCTTAGAAATAATTCATAGTCAGAAAAATCTGTGTTTATATCCAGCATGTGTTCATTTCAGCACCTATAAAGTTATATTTATGCCAATAATGTGATTCCAGGATATCATAGAATAGATCTTGGTGTAGCCCAGTGTTCTCATCTCTTCTCAGGGGAGGAATACGAGCAGCTCAGAGCAGGCAAGTGAAAGGGATCAGAGGTAGTGATTTGAGGTTGGCCAACGCTAAGGAGAGACTCAAGAGGCTAGGGCTATTTAATTTAAAAGCAAAAGTACATGAAGATTAGGGATTGGGATTTCCAGCCTGCGCAGGGGAAAGGTCACACCAGGATGTGCAGGTTTATCTTCATTCTCCTGCAAAGCCAACAAACAGCTGTCAGAATATCAGTTCTCTCCACCTCATAGACTGCCAGTCCTTTTTCCCAAATGACCACTCTTTACTGTACACACAGCATCAGACAGCACTGCTCTGTAACACCAGCAAATGCAGACAGCAGGTGAAATGCAGCAGCTGTAAACTGAAGAAAGCAGAACGGAAGAAAAAAGCAAAATGAATACAGGGAAAAATAGAGAAAGCATGGAAGACCAGCTTGGAATTCAAATGAAAACATCAACAGACAGGATCACTGCAGAGAATAAGCTGCAGCACAGGAGCAATCAAGAGACTATCCCATCTACACTGCGAGAGCTTAGAGAACAATTCCCAAAGTTCCTGCACAGCAGAATACACTCCTTTAAAAGTAATATCAGCCTCTCCTTCTACTAAGCCTAAATGGTAAAAAATTATGCTAGTCACCAGAATTCTGACAGCCAAACCACAAAGCTATACAGATAGGAACAGAACTCTGGCATATCTTCCTTACTGATGAGCTGCAGATAAATCGCAACATGTGATGCTTCCTACAGGAATTACTTCCTGAAATCAGGCCTTTTCTACAGGTGAGAGATGAGTCTCACTATCCATGTGACCTGAAAGCCTTCCAGCTATAGCATGTTACACGCTGCGGCTTCAACCCACATAAAGCACTTGCGTAGCTCTTGACTTCACCACCAGCCCTGAATAAAACAGGTCAGTGGGAACTAAGGACCCAGAGAAGGTCAACAGGTACCGTATGCTGCCAGCTATCTGAACTCATCTAAATGATGTTTCCAAGGGATTCAAACTGAAAGAGCAGGTTTAGTAGATTAGATATTAGGAAGAAATTCTTTACTATGAGGGTGGTGAGGTGCTGGAGCAGGTTGCCCAGAGATGATGTGGATACCCCATCCCTGGAAGTGTTCAAGGACAGGCTAAATAGAGCTCTGAGTAACCTGTTCTAGTGGTAGGCACCCCTTCCCATGGCAGGGAAGTTGGAATGAGATGATCTTTAAGGTCCCTTCCAACCCAAGCCATTCTGTGATTTTATGATTCCATGTTAATACGAACTTATTTCTTCATATCAGGTATATGCTTCATTTCGCAACTGGGGCTTCCTAAAACCACGTAGATGTTCAGATACTTTAAGTTTTACCCAGATAGTTTAAGCAGTACTATGCTGCTAAGTATTTACCTATGTAACTTCTTAAGCGCTGAACTGTTTGGTCACAAATTCAAGACCGTAACATAAAATTTCCACCAGTTGAGCACTATCCTCCAAAAAAACTGTTTTCCTTCTCTCTGGTCCACAGGGACGTCAGCAAAAGACCCGTTGTCAGGAATTGTAGTGACAGGACAAGGAATAATGGGTACAAATTGAAAGAGGGTGAATTTATATTAAACATTAGGCATAAATTCTTTACTGTGAGAGTGGTCAGACGCTGGAACAGCTTGTCCAGGGAGGCTGCGGATGTCAGAACTCTGGCAGTGTTCAAGGACAGGTTGGATGGGGCTCTGAGCAATCTGGTCTGATGGAAGGTGTCCCTGCACATAGCATGGGGGTTAGTACTTATATGGTCTGTAAGGTCCACTGACTCCTTAACATTCTATGATTTACCTGGGCGTTAAACACACGGCACAGGCCCGGAAAAGGCTGCTCTGAACCGTGTTTACTCGAGCACCTCCCACCTCTCCTAAGGAACCGCTGCGGCATCCGAGGGATAGCACCGACCACCTCCCGCCACAGGCGTCCCGCTCGCACCGGCGCCGTAAATCCCCGCCTGGAGACAGCCAGGACTTTCCCACCTGCAGACGGCACGCAGCTCGGCCGCCGTGTCCGCCGCACAGCCCAGCTCCGCCGCCACGGCCGCGTCCGTCTCCTCCTTCTCCTCCTGCGCCGCCGCCAGTGAGAGGTCGGGCGGGCCGAGCTGCCGCCGCCACCCGCGGCCTAGCGCGCCCACGCGGAACGCGCGCGTGCACAGCTCCGCCGACTCGTACTCGGGCGCCATCTCCGCCATGGCCGCCATGGCCGCCGGGCCCGCGGGCCGCACCACCACCGCCGCGCGTCACAGGCTGCGGGCGGGGCCGCCGGGCGGGATAAGGGCGAGCACCGCCCCAGGGGCGGGGAGTGGTGAGGGTGCTGCGGCTCTGAGGTGCTGACGCCGTGCTGGGAGGCGGAAAAGCGCCCGGCAGCGTTCACTAGGGGGAAAAAAAAAAAAAAAAAAAAAAAAACAAAAACAAAACACCAAAACAGCAACGGAAGAAAAAAGTTCTTCAGTCATTAAAACCGCGCCGTGTGCGTGGTTTTACAGGGTGCAAACACTTTCACACGTTTTCACAGAATCACATAGGTTGGAAAAGACCTCTCAGATCATAGACCTGTGATCTAACACCACCACTTCAGCTAGACCAGGGCACTAAGTGCCACATCCAGTCTTTCCTTAAACACCTCCAGGGACGGTGAATCCACCACTTCCCTGGGCAGCCCATTCCAATATCTCATCACCCCTTCTGTGAAGAAATTCTTCCTGATGTCCAACCTAAACCTTCCCTGGTGCACCTTAATACTATGACCTCTCATCTTATTGCTGGCTACCTGGGAGAAGAGACTGACTCCCGCCCTGCTATGACCTATTTTCATTCTACTTTATTGAGAAATCACATTTTTTCCTCTCAAAGTGAAAATGCCTTGGAAACCTTTCCTTTTACAGCGTTTAAGGTGTTTTATAATATGATGAACAAGGTTGATGAAATATATAACCTTTTACTTTACTAGCACTGCTCGTATTAAAGCATGTGCCAACCACCTGGAATGTCCACTGGAATAGTGTGATGAAGCTACCATGAGCACAACCTGTTAAGAAAGAGGCAGAAGTAATCTGGATTGAGCTAACCTGATATACCTGTTG